AAGATTCTTACTCGGGTAGGAATGGACTTCATCAAGATTCAGCGCACAAATGCTGGGGAAGCTGTGGAGGTGAAATAATCCTATACTGCTGAGGGAGGATAAACAATCACTTTGGAAATCAGCATGGAGATTCCTCAAAAAACTTAAAGTAGTACTTCTTTTGGGTATTTTCCAGAACAGCTAAAGTCATACTGCAGTAATCCATGCATATTCAAGTTACAGCAGCATAGCTCACAATAGCTAAATCATGGAAGGGACCTGTACACCCACTGACAGGTGAAAGGATGAGGGGTGATAACTGTGAAAAGTCGCACCCTGGAATAAAATCCAGGGAAGCAAGAGATTGAAATTTGGGGAGCAAAGGCTTTATTTTAGGGCAGGCCTGGTGACACAGCCTCTGGTAGCCAATTTGAAGACTGTGCCCCAGAGACAAAGGAAGGGATTTTAAAAGCAGGAGAGGGAGAAAAAAACAAACAAACAAAAAAACCCTGCAGAGCTGTTAAGCTGTTGACTCAAGTCTGGAAACTGTAAAGCTGTCCACTTAGTTCTGATAACATCGGGAGCCTTTGGTGCCTTTCAAGTTACTCCCAGTCTGCGGAGAAGCATTATCTTGGAATAGCACATATGCAATAACATTCAGAGAAGAAAGTAGAAAGTTAATTATTTTGGGACAGCTTGTTAGCAATAACATGTGGAAGGGGGGAGGTGGTTAATTATCTTGGGTCAGCTTGTTAGCACTAACATGTGAGAAGGGGTCGAAAGTTACAAGAAGCTGAAACTTAAGTTTTTAGAAGGATTTGGAACTTAACCCTTTCGGCGCATACAGAACAAGACGAGGCGCATTACAGAACAGAAATACGGCAAGATTACTTTTTTGGGCGGGGAAGAACAAGATCAGGTAAGGGTTGTGCTAACAAGCAAGTTTCCCTGCAAACAGGCAAGTTTAGATTGGGCAAATATCTTTTTTTTTTTTTTTTTCAGCATAGAATATAGAAGTCTAACAGTAATTAACAACCTTTTGTTACCTTATTTTAGCACCAGATCATTTATTTGTAGAGGGCAACAATGGTTAACATATCAGTTAGGTAAGATTTTGCTATTCTTTACAGAGGAGAGCATTGATTAACATATCAGTTAGGTCACCCAGAGGGAGAAGGAAAACATATATAGGGTATGGCCATGTTGCAGGCAGTTTGCTATAATACAAATATAACGAAGCTATTTTTCTTAGAGTACAACAATAACGTATACACTGTGGAGCACTGTGTAACCGTAAAGAGGGATACATTTGAGTTACTTGTAGGAAAATGGGTGGATCTTGAGACTAATGCTAAGTGAAATAAATCATTCACAAAGCTTAAAATAGGGGTTTCTCTAGTACTATGAGACCTAAAATATAAATATTTTAAAGAGCAAAATAAAAGAGCCATGGTCTGTGGAGGTGGGAAGGGATTAGGAGAGGAAGAAGAAAGGGAGCAGGGAGGGCTGAGGGAGTAGGAATGATCCAGACACTATTTGTGTGTGTCCGACCTCCAAGCTAAAAATCATCACTTGGTATCATAACATATACTCATAAAAAATGAAGAAGGAAAGGGCAGCGGTTCTCTCCCTTACCCGTGGTTGCACTTTCTGGTGTTTGTTAACCTACCCAGTCAACTGTGACTTGCAAACACTGAGCAGAAACATCCAGAAATAACATTTTAAGGTGTGTATTATTTTAAGTAGTGTTTTGAAACTTCATGCCATCTCGCTCTGTTGTGCCCAGCACACCATTCATTCCTTTGTCTAGAATATCTCTGCTGTGTATACTACCTCCTGTTATTTAGTGCCTGTCTTTAATTATCCTATCACTGATGTGGTATCGCAGTGCTTGTATTCAGCTGACCCAGATTTAACTTGAAATGACCCCTCAGCACAAACTGGTGTTGGCACTTTGGATAGACCAAAGAGAAGCTGTAAAGTATTTTCTTTAATATTGTTTCATGAATGGTGGGTATAGTAGAGTAGGATATAGTGAGAGACTATATCCCCATAATTTTTATTGCAGCATATTGTTGTATCTTTTTGTTGTTAATCACTTAATTGTACCTAATTTATGAATTCATTGTCACCTTAGCTCTGTGTGTATTGGTTTATGTGCTGCTGAAGTGAGCATGGGTATTCTATGTATTTGAAAAAGCAGAATAGAAAAGGTTTACCCCTCTATTACCTCCAGTTTCAGGGGTCCTCTGGGGGCTTGGAACTTAGGTCTCATAGCTGTGAGGGTGGTGTGGAGGGAGAAGATGCTATATGCTGAATGCTTAAAGACTGAAGAATAATTAAAACTGCTTTTCAGCGTACAGGCTGTGAGTGGCAGCTTGGGCCTCCCTGAGAAGTTGTTAGGAAGGCAGGCCCCCCACCCCCAGTAATTAGAACCTGTGTTTTTATCATATCCCCAGGTGACACATTGCACAATGGAATCTGAGAGAGCACTGCATTTAAATTTTCTTAATTACTAAAATAGTTCCATCCTCTAGCAACTTCTCTGTTTTTATCTTAGATTTCTGTATAAAGCTTCAAAACAGGTTTGTTGTATTATAAATTGTTACAAATGTTAGAAGTGAAGACAAAGTGGGGAGTAACTGGAAGAGAAAGCTGTGTGTAGAATAGTCACAAAAGTCTCAAATAGGTATCTGTCTGTTTATAGATGTCATTTCTCAAATATAGAAGCAGGTTATCTGGGAATAAGTTGGGTATGCACACCCTACCTCCTGTGTAATTAACAAGTTTGGAGAGACATGTTATTTATTTATTTATGTGCCAGTTTGTAATTACTAGCCTTAATGAATGCTGTTTTATTTATTTATTTAGTTAGTTTTGGTATCAGGGATTGAACTCATGCACGACCTCGAGCTTGCCATGAATGCTGTTTTTTAGAGTAACTTTTACTTTTAGATTAAGAAGTATGGAATCCATACTTCTTAATGAAGTGGGGTGTGATTCAGTGGTAGAACACTTGCATAAGGATTTTTTACTTAAAACAGAAACCGACTGTTTTTAAAAAGCTTGATTTTTATTGATGTCTCTTATGTTACTAGTTTTTCATACTCATGTAAATTTATAGAGTGTTAATTGTAAACTTCTGACTATTGACATAATTTCTAAATATCTTATTTGTCCATTTCTAATTATGCAAGCAATATTTGAAATTGATCATTAGAAAATAGTTATGCAGGGATACAAATGTATGAAGAATTATTATGTTGAGGCTTGTATTCTTGCATGCATACTGTATATTAGCTTTGCTGCTGTGTTTTGCAGATTATTTTTGACTCTGATCCAAAGAGGTGACATTATTTTATGACTCAGCTGTTCTATCGAGTCGCTCTTCCACTGGCTGTGGAAAGTTCAGGCTAACCTGGGCTCTCAAGTCCAGTGTGTACTTTTCCTCTTTTCTCAGCCCTAGTTGCCTGCCTTGATTTTTACAGCTTTTGTAGGTGATTGTAATTAATATGCATGCTCTTAAATTTTACATGCTTCTCATTTTGTGCAAATGGCTTCATATTGTATGATTCAGCTGTAACTTTTCTTAATGTTGTATTTAAGAATTTATTCACGTGGTTATAAGGCTTTTTGAGGTAGTCCTTGTTTTCATTCGTACAAACATTTACTACTGATAAATTTAAAAACTTTTCCAGAAGGGTGGGTGCAAAATGGAGGTCACTGTAGATATTTTCCCCTAGTTGCCGTTGAAATTGAGCATTTTTTGTGTTTATTTGACTATACATGTCTTCTGAGAATTATCCATTCATTCCCTTTTGTCCATTAAAATTTTTTTTTACTGATTTCTAGGTTTTATTTTATTTGCTTACTTATTTTAATATCTGTATATGTATGCATATATGATCCTAGGGATTAAACTCAAGGCTGACACATGCCAAGAAAGCACTTTTATCACCAGACTGCACCCTCAGCCATATGGCTTATTTTTAAAAATGTCTTTCATGCCCTTGTAATCTCCACTACTTGGAAGGCTAATGTAGGAGGATCATGAAGTCAAAGCCAGCTGGGTAACAAAGCCAGACCCCATCCATCTAAGAAATAACTTTTAATTTTTATCTGTTACTATTGTAAGTGATATCTTCTATGTTTAATAAAGAGCTTTCTTGCTATGAGTTTTACTGCTTCTGGTTCAAATATTCTGAGTAAAAAATAAATTAGTTTTAAAATTTTAGATTTAGGAGAAAGTTTTTAGGAAAGCAAAATTAGTAAAAGGATTGAGGTTCTAGAAGACTTCTTTCTATACTTTCAGTGCAACCAAGGCACATGTCATCTTCTGTGGCAAGATGCTTGTGGTAGCTCCCATTGTAATTGCACGAAAACCAGAATGCTTATAATATGTTGTCTTAGATGTGTATTTCGGTTTTAGTACTTCTTTTTCTTTTTAAAATTCATACACCCTACTTGTTTTATTGCTGATATTCACAAAGGTAGAAAACATTTATTTTATGCAACACCCTGGACCTACTTTATCTAAGTAGCTGAAAGAAAAGTCATCTACACACACACAGGATATTACCTCTGTAATCCTTTTTTGTAATGTTCTTTACAGTGTTATTTATTTTATTTTATTACTATGTTTCCAATTCATACCATTTATAGTCATCTTGGGGAGTGGTTACATGTGTCACTCTCACACGCTGTTCCCCTATCATCTTTTTATGCTTGTTGATACATGTCTTAGCATGTATCATAGCATATAATATTTACATTGAGTGGAGTTATTAGGATCCTGTACATGACACATCTTTATTCCTCTCGCCCCACCCCCCAGCTCCTTGTTCTCTTGGACCACTTTCTTGTTGGACTAGACCTTCCCTTTGTCCCTTTCTATCCATCTGTTATCATTTTCTTTGTTCTTTGCCTCATTCAGATGAGAGATACCATAAGATTTAAGCATTTGTGTCTGATTTACTTCACTGTACATTAATAACTTCTTTTTTTCTTTTTCTCTTAATTAGGTCCCCGATGGGCTTCCTGGAACATTGGTGTGTTTATTTGCATCAGATGTGCTGGAATTCATAGAAATCTTGGTGTTCATATATCCAGGGTCAAATCAGTCAACCTAGACCAATGGACACCAGAACAGATACAGGTAAACATTACTTTAACAAGAAGTTATTAAAAATATTTAAAATGATTTGAAATGTCCAATCCTTGGATCTAAGAATTAATGTTGAAAAGAAGGATACTGAAATGGCATATATTGTATAAAAATTGAATGTTAAACTTGACTTGTTAATTTGTAGATGTTATTTTATTATTGCCTCTATGGTAGTTTTACTTTACTATACTGTAGAGTATTATAATACTGAAGAATATTATATTTTTATCTAAAATAGTAATTTTGAAATAATTGAACAATACCGTTTTTTCTATTGATGAGATTTGCTGTTTTAATTGTATAGTTTATTTTCCTATCAGTAGAGGGAGCCTGAGGAAAGACAGGGAAAAAAATCAGCTGCTACCTGAAAACTGATATGCAGGATTTCCCTTTTGTACAGAGGTGTTCTTCACATTTAGATAGCAGCTAGAAGAAAGTTCAGTGAGCAAATATGTATTCTTACGAACATTTAGACTTGTTTAGAGCAGGTTAGCTTTGTTAGGGGTCACTTTGTAATTTGAAGAGTTTGCTGTTTTCCTGGTATGATGGTCTTAAGTCCTCAAAGTCTAAGCATCTAGTCCTTAAGATTGGCCACACATTTAAAAAGTTAGTTTTCCTGTTTGTACTTTGTAATTTATAGTGAAGTAACATTACTTTTGAATGTGCTTTTAGCCAGCATAAAGTACTAAATATACCCAGTCATCCCTTGGTATCCACACAGGATTGGTTTCAGGAGCCCTGGCAGATGGATACCAGAATCCAGTGATGCTCAAGTACCTTCTATAGGATAGCAATATAGTAGTGTTTGTGTATAACCTATGCATATTTTTTGTGTTAGTATACTTTGAATCATCCCTGGATTATTTACAATAATGAACACAGTTTAATTACTGTACAGGTAGTTGTCATATATTTGTTTAAGGAATAATGAGAAGAAAAAAATAGCTGTTCATGTTCACTAGAAATGCAGTATTTCCCCCCCCCCCCCCACTTAGTACTTATGACCTGTAGTTGATTGAATCACAGGCAGAACCCCAGATATTTCGAGGGCCAGCAGTATGTGTTTGAACCTCTGTGATATATGTGCCTACTTCAGAATAAGAAAAACATAAGAATTTGCATTAGTATAGTGAGGTTAAGGGTTGAAGGAATAAAATGGAGATTGTCAGGCTATAAAGCAAGGCATAGTTTATCAGTTCTGTTTTTGAGCTTTTTGTTGGCAAGGGCATAAAAGGAGATATGATCCTTTGTGTATTCTCAAGATCCTTGAGGAGAAAACATCCTAGTTACATCGAAAAAACAGAACTTTCTGAACATTTCATATAAAGCAGTATTCTTAATATCTGTTGCAAATGTGGTAACAGATGTTATAATATTGTCTTATCTTTTTCAAGAAAATGTGATGTGTACTTTGAAAATATAACTTGATGTTTGTAATGGATTGTAGAGATAAAAAAAATTGAAGACAAAAATATATAGCCTTTTTAGTAGTTTGTTTTAAATTAAGGATAAGACATGTAATCCCAGGACAGTTCATTTCTCCAGAAATATTATTTTCTGGAATTCACCCATTGAGAGGAGTTGAATAACAGGTTATTTCTGATAGCAGCCATATATTTTGGAGCAGAATTTCCAAATCAGTGGGCTGCAGTTCACTGGTTTTTTGTAAATAGGTAATAGATGCATGGCAAGATACTGAACTATTAAAAAGTAAAGATATTAAAAATAATTATTAAGTAATTTGGACTATTTGAAATTGTATTTGCTCAGGTTACTTGAAACAATTTTTAATAGCACAGAAATAAAGTTATTCACATTTTTTAAAAAATTCAAAATTCTTTTAATATGGTTCATGGTCAGGTTAAACATCTCTGATCTCGGGTTTATTTTCAGTTACTTCTTAAGTTTTTGGAAAGATTTAGTTTTTTTATACTATTGCGAATATTGCAGATTTTATCTTATTGTATAATGATTAATTAACCCAAATCTTGATGCTTATTTTCTCCTTTACTTAAGAATTCTTAATTATTCATTTTAATATCAGTATGAATTACAGGTACTAAATATATCCGTAGTTAAGCTGTTCAGAAATGTAGAATACTAACCCCTAACCCCGTGTGGTGGCACACATCTCTAATCCCAGCACTCTGGAAAGCTGCGACACAATTTCAAGTTTGAGCTGAGTCTGGGCAACAGTGACTTAGCAAGGCCTTGTCTCAGAGAGAAGGAGAGAGCTGGGGATGTAGTATAGTGTGAAGGCCTTGAATTCAGTCTGCAGTACTGCCAATAAATAGTTAAATAATACTTTGTGTCAGCAGGGAATGTTACTCCCAAGTTTCTTATCTCACTTGAAATTTTATGTTGTTGAGTAAATATTATAATGAGATCTTGTCCATATTGGATAATATACTCCATGTATTTGATAATTATCTTCATAACTTTCAGGCTACTTTTACATATGTCATCTAGCTAGTAGGTTCTAATTACCCTCCTTTGCAGCTTCTTTCTTATGTATTTAATAGTATTATTTATTGATTACTGTTTTCTTGGAATCATGAAGCTCACACAATTTAAATGGTTTCATTTATAAGTTCTGTCTTAGGAGAGGAACTTTCCATTTTTGTTTGGAAATTTAATTTAAATTAAATTTTAAATTTTTAAAATTCATATATATTTGCCACAAGTTACATTTGCTTTGGAGAATTAGATTACATGTACATATATTATTATTGCTTGATCATTTTTTCTTTCTTTGCCCACCTACATTTGAAATTGCAGGCTCTTTGAGTATAATTTATCCTTATGGAATTTGCTCTCAGCGTTTATTTATAGATATGTTCACTGCTTCTGTTCATGTCTTTACCTTTTTTAACTTTCACTTTAAATCTGTTTGGGGTTGGAAGATGTCTTTGTTACTTTCCTCTTTACTGAGACACAGGACGGTAAGGAGAGGTTTATTTTGACTCACAGTTTCATTGGGTCTAGCTCATGGCTGGCAGAGCCAGCAGGAGAAGAGGCATGGCGGGAGGACAGCGGGGAGAAAAGCTGCTCTGGTAGGGTGGCCAGGACCCCGAGAGAGCAGGGAGGAGCGGGGGAGGGAGCTGTGTGCTTCTAAGTCCCGCCCGGTGACCCGCTGAACTGCCCTGCTTCCTACTGCACTGACCACAGGATGGTAGAGTTCCCGCCTCCCGCTTTCCACACAAGAGAGACTTTTGGGAACTTTCTGGGTCCAAACCATGAGAGAAGAAAAGCATCCTTAAGCCTCTTTTTACAACCTTGTTTATCAATATAGCCAGACAATGGACGCTTTTCTCTTGGTTTTCTGTCATCAAGCTGCTAAATGTTTCTGCTGTAAATTCCAGCTCTGTTTTTCTCTTGATTTAGGACCAGGAGTTGAAGGGAGGTAGTCCTTACTGTGTTTTCTTTATTTTCATTGTTTTCCTTCTTTTCCACGTAATTAAAAACTGTTCGTTTTGAAGTTTTCTGAAACTCCTTCTTTGAAATGTTTCCTCATCCCTTTCTCCAGAAAAGTGGCACTCCCAGCACTTGATTCTACTGTGTTCGTTTTCTTGTTTTGTCTAAAAGCTTTAGACAAGTACTGTACTTTGATGTGTTTCCCATTGCTTTCCGGGGTAGCAGATGAATTTCTTAAGTTTTTACCTGCTGTGTAATTTCTTTACTTTTGCCTCTGCGGATTTCTTTCAGTTTTTACCATTCTCTTGAGTTTGCCCTGCTTGAGAACTCTATTTACTCCTAATAGCTGAATCCAGCTCTGTTCTCTTCTCTGTTGATCTTAGTGCATCACTTGATACTAATCACTGCCTTCTTGAAGTTTCTGAGTTTTTAATTCTTTTTTCTTTGTGAAAGTAGCTAAAGTTACTAGTTAATATCTTTTATTGTCCTGGGGTTTTTTTTTTTTGGCTTTGTTTTGTCTTTTGGTTTTTGCCTTTCCGTTATTTAGAGATTTTCTACACTTTAATCTTTAGCACTTTTGTTCTTTTGTATTGCTCCATAGCTAAATTCACTTACTCTTATGGATCCATTGTTACTTTTCTTTTCATATGGTTCTCTCTTTTTAGTAGTGACTTCTAGTAAAATGACTTAAAGAGTCTTTTTTTTTCAGGTTGTCTGCTAGAGACCTTTGGTTTTCATTGATTTGTCTTTGTTACAAAATGTTGACTATCATGGCCATGAAGTAATTGGTATTTTTCCCTAATATCCAATTTAATTGTGTGCTGTATGAAGCTGGAGGTAGCTAGTTAGGTAATTCCATGTCATTGGACTCAACATGGTTTTACATTTTTTTATTTATTTTTTTATGTTCAGTAACTCATGAAGTAATTAGGAATTTTGTTGCCTTATGAAAAAGAAAGCTATCTGATGTTGAGAGGACAGAAGTTATGAGAAAGAATACTTGTGACAAAGTGTGGATATTTTCCCTCCAGGTAATATTATGACTTAAAAATAGAATAAGAAATAGAATATCAGAATTAATTGTTGCTTTTTTGTAGTATCAGTGAGACTGTGTTCCATATGGAAACGGGGGAAATAAAGATTTATGAAATTGTTTCAGTGTTTCAGTATGTGGGATCTTGCCTGACGTGATAAATACTAGTGTGTAGAATTTGTGAATGTTGTGATTGATAGGTGTCTATATCTTGCAACTTGACAAATCTAATAATAAAGCAATGTTCTGGTGTCCTAGATTGGGTTGCTTTCTTCATTGATGTTATTATCCCAGTGAATCTTAAAATGTGGTAATGTTCTATCATTCTGTCATTTTCACTTCCTTGTGACTTTAAATCCTATGAACTTTTTGTTATTTCTGCCACTTTTCCCTCTCATTTTTCATAATATAAGGTGTTATTAGTTTACATCCTAGTTCTCATTGCTATTATCTCATTATCTATTTTACATAAACACGGCTTTCTTTTCTCTAAAAGATTTATGTTGGTAGTTCTATCAGAATTATAAAGTTTTATTTTCCTTAA